TTTGATAAATGGATGTTTGAACTTTAGTTAAAAGCCTTTTTTTTTAAATCGCTAGACTCTAGTTGGATATTCAGTATGGATTTAGCGATTAATCAGAAAAGACTAGTTTTAGGGTTGTTTTAATAATTTTAAAACATACTAATCTAATATTGTTTTCAAAATTGCAGTAAATATATAAAAACTTTAAGGTAAATTTTTATGATTTTTATTAAAATTTGGATATAAGTTATTGTAAAACATCACAAAATCTCAATACAAATGATTGAATAACAAAAATAATTTTTTTTTTTATACTTGTAATCTAAAAATAATCGGAATATGTAAAATAAGGCAAAGAGTAATCGGATTAAGCGGGAAGTAATCGGATTAGGCAGGAAATAATCAGATTAGGCGGATAGGCTGGGCCTAACGATTAAGCGGGGAGTAATCAAATTAGGTAGGAATTTTTAGAAAAGAGTCAAAAATAAATGTCAACGACTACCATAAAAGTTAAGAAACCTTTTTTTTCTAACATGGGTAGGCCTGGGCATTCGGATATTCAGATCGGGTTCGGATTGGGTTTTTCGGGTTCGGGTTTAGAAAACTAAGACCCGTTCGGGTATTTTAAAACTTCGGGTTCGGATTCGGGTTTATCCGAAGTATCCAAATATTAAAAAATTTGTATCCGATTCTATGCAAAGTATTGAAAATACTCAAAAAATCTATAAATTTTAAGTATTTTATACCTGAATCTAACCAAAAATGGCTAAAACAACCAAAAATATCTTAATATCTGAATAATTTAGACAGTTAAGTTATTACAAGTATAACTATTACTAATATATTATATCTATGTATTTATATTTCGGATATGTTCGGGTACTTGTTCGGGTTCAGGTTCGGATCGGGTTCGGGTTTTCGGGTTGTGAAGTTTAAAACCCGTTCGGGTATTTTAAAACTTCGGGTTCGGATTCGGGTCGGGTTTTTCAGGTCGAGTTCGGTTCTGTTCTTCGGGTTCGGATATTATGACCAGACCTAAACATGGGTTTTCATAGTCATAACGATTAAAATGAATACACATAGCTCATTATGCTTATAATATCATTGCAATTCTTAATATCATTGCAATTCTTTCCAAAATTAATAGGAGCTCTAGAACAATACCTTAAATTTTTCATTCTGTAAACAAATTTTAGAGGAATGTTTTTTAAGGATTCCGTTAAATGAAATTTATATATATAAGATTATTTTATTCATTGACAAAAAAGGAGAGTAATCAAGTTAGTTTAATTTGTATCTTTTGGTTATTCTTCTCTTTCTTTTCTTTTTTTTTTCTTGTTTTTGGGGGCAAACATATTTTGACTATTCTTCAAAATTTTAATTGGAAAAATATGTTAGCTCTTTTATACTATTGAGTTCTAGACCGCCGCAACCTCCATTTGCCGCCGCCTAGGGAAGCTGGCCTCTATTTATAGCCGTGGAGCAAGACTGTGACAACCAGTTTTGCATTCAATAGTTTGGTACATAGACTAGTGCGTATCTTGTTTAAATCAACGTTAGATTCGGTTAGGCAAGCAATTAATCAACGTAAACCTGTAACTTGTATGTTCAAATTAGGTTCAGAATAAATCACGCTCAGATTTGATGCGGGTAGGTCAAATTAGGTTGCTTACAACAATCTATTAAACGGAGGAAAATGAAAAGGATTACATTATATTAATACTAGTATATTAAGGTCCCTGCTTTGCATGGGAAAATTTAATAATACAAATAATATAGTATAAGATGTATGAATCCTAAATTTGGTTTAAAAAAGTGAAGAGGATTATATTATCCACAAAATAACTTATCCGTTACATAAATATACAAGCGGTTAGTGTTTAGTCAAGACTATTTAATGATATGTACATAGGAGGATACTTTAAGCCATAAATCTATTGAACAACATCGGCCGGTGTTTAATTGTGTATACACACATAACATATTGGAATTCAAAATATATGGTGCATATTCATTCATATACGTAATACCTGGTAATATCTAAACAAAACGAAAATAGAATTTGCAATAATGAATGTACAGTAGGACAGAGAGGAGAAAAATAATTGAGATGCCAAAAATACTTGAGATAGTAAATAATAATAATCACAATGATAAGAGTATGCATGACTTCAATTATTGCAAGGAGCCTAAAAAGCATGACACACACCAATCTTAGTTGAGGATATCATCCGCGCGCGTCCCACACGTGTGGGTCCTTTCACACTCTTTCTATGTTTTAACCATAACTCAACCCCCAAATGAAATTTAGAAATTCTACCCAAAAAAAAAAAAAAAGATTAAATCATATGTGGTGTATCTCGTATTCGTAGAAGCCATATGGTCTTTTGTTTTTCGCTTCTTAATGTTTCAATCGTCGTCATCGTTACGAGATATCGAAGAAGAAATATTTCCCTATATAGTGACAGATTTGAAATAAGCGGCTTATATTGTTACTTGGATTTTGTTTCTACTGGTCTGGTAACCAAATGTTTAAACTCGATTTGGTAGCTATTGGCCGACTCATGATATTTTGCTATGTATATCATCAGAAACATAATTCACATGTCGACCAATCCATATATTGTTTTGAAGTTTATTTTTGGTGATATTTGGGTTTTGTAAAACGCAAATGGGGAATGTGTTAAGGAAATATACAAAATTACGGTTTTGATCATCAACTCTGCGGAACTACGGAATTATGAATATATGCATAATTATAGGCAAAATTATTTAAGGAGAAAATATATGTGGCTGAAAAACTCTAGAATGATACTATACTATATTCTATTTTCGTCCTTTGGTTGTAAAATAGCAAAATTGTCGAATATCATCATGATCACTAAAATCTAAAATAACAAAATCGTAGAATTACATAATTTTTCGACTATTCCATTAAATTATATCAGACCCTACAGCTTTTTTGTAATTAATGACAACGTACTAATTTGAAACCAACTATCATATCTATGACATGTTACCATTCATACACATAATAATGTAGCTATTTAATGTCCAGAACTTTTCTTGAAAGCAACTTGCAATAAGTTAAAAAAGAAGTTATAATTAATGGAAAATGTATTGATGATGTTGGGTAAGAACACATTAATCAAGTTTTTCTAGGACCATCACTGTGATGAATAAAGTTTTGGGCCAATAATAACGATTTTGGTCAAACTAAAGAAAAATAATAATCTGATTGAGTGTTTTCGTGACCGTTTGATGGGTCATCGTTATCACATTTTGCTTCTTCTTCGTATCATTAAGTATCATCGAGTCATCGTTCATCATTATGTCTTGTTCGGCCTTTTTATTCGGTAAATATTAGAGCATGATTTTCCATTCCTTTTAATCAAGGAATCCAACTTAATCATGACCTTGTAGTTATGTAATTAGTCACGCTAATTTGTCTCGTTTCTTAAAAGAAACAAGATAGGTCGTTTGTTTCTCCGCCGCTAGAGAATAAGAGACGAGAGAGTCATCATATATATCATTTTCATTTGTTTGCTGATTCCAAATAATACATCCAGAATGACACACCTTCATAGTTAGGAAAACGAGTACAATAGTTACGACTTACAAAGAAAATTTTTATCTGAATCTAGAATTTTCGTTTTGTTGCAAATTTCATTTGTAAATTTTGAATTTATAATTTTTAAAGAATTTAAATTCAAAATGTAAACAAAATTTTTTTCTTCAAAAGTATGCATTAATTAATTCATTATATTCTAATAACTACTAAAAATAAGCAAACCTATAACTATAAAACTCAGTTTAAACTATATATAATATCAACGAACAAATTTGATTGGCATGTTTTTCAGGTCTGCTTCTGCTAACATATCAGGTTTAGCGGATTGATTAATAATATTGTGAATATTTTTATTGTTACATTATTATTTTCAGTATTAAAAAAAAACATAGTATTACAGAAACATTTTCATTAAATCAAATATGTGAATCAAAACAATAGTACTATACTAAACAAAAAATTGTTGCACTTTAGTTATTAACCTTTTTCACCGACCATTGATATAGAATTTTTTATAAACAGCATCAAACGGTAATTAACTACGATGTCAACAGTCACTATGTCCCTTTTTTACTTCCAATTATTATTTACCCTAATTCTTTTTCCAACAACTTCCACTTTCGTTTAAATCTCTTAAAACTTAAGAAAATCAAAGTCCCCATCATTAACGTGTGACCAAGAATTACGCTGGCCGGTCAAACTAATTATGGTCTTCAATAATTTTCAACAAACACAGTCTCACAGATTCAAGAAGAATCACTATTCCTTCAATAGAGTAATATAAGTAGATGAAACTGTTTCAAAATTATCCGATCTTCTTCAATGGCTGCATTGTGATCGATGATTAGTAATTTAGTATATAGAAATTGTCGCTTTTTCCATGCTCAGATGTATTTTGTTCATAATTTCAACTTTCACTCTATCTGAGATTTTATTGCCATAAAAACTTTCTGATAAATAAGTTTGATTGTTATCTTTTATATTTGGAAAGTGTCTTGAAATGGAAGTATTGCATACGAGATTTTGATTGTCATGAAAACAAACTGACTTTTTTGTAGAATAAAATACAAACATATATGCATATTTGTATATAGGGATTAATAACAAACACACAAGGCGCCAGTCTCGTGTAAGAATGTGGTCTACATTTATATGCATTCACGTGCGTATGTGAATGGTAGTTGTCGGTCAATCTCCTAAATCCATATAAACCCCAAAATACTATAATTCTCGGTATTGACAAGATATTGAAACAAAAGGAAAATATCTTATGTTCACTTTGGCATATTAAGTTGCCTATTATTTAACCGGTTAGAGTAAAATTCCACAAAAAATATTGACACATTATTCACATATATTAAAAATATATATAATTACATAAATATGTCCCTATAGATTCATTATACTAAATAAAATGATGACTTAAATCACATGTCTTAAGGAATTTATAGGACGAAGATCCAATTTTTGTTAATTTACATAATAATATTATTAAAATACATCGAACATGGAAATAAATAAGTGGGGTTTCACTTTCATGTCATCAGTCCATAAGGCCACAATAGATCTTCTTGTTCCTCTCTCTTTCTCTCGCTCTCTCTAAAACTCTTATTTTCTTCGTAAGAGATGGAACTAGCGTTGTCTCTAGGCGACAATACTAAGAAACAGTTCTCTTTTCTGGAGATGAGCTCGAAGATTAATAATCCCTCTGCCTCGTCGACCTCAACTTCCGACAAGGATCTTGGATTCTGCATGGGTTTAGATGTTGCTTTTGGTGGTCACAAATCGTTGTCATCCTCTTCGTCTCCGTCGGTAGAAGATGAGAAGAAGAAACCGGTGCCGAGAGCAAAAAATTCTGATGGAATTAGGGTTTCGTCTTCAGTAGATCCACCATTACAGCTTCAGCTTCACTTACCTAATTGGCTCCCTGAGAACAGTAAGGGTCTTTATTTTATCTCTTAAAACAAAAATGGGCATAAGATGACTATAATTTTCTCGTACCTAAAGGGTGTGCTTATATACGTGTACACTACACACAAAATAAAAGAAAATAAGTCTGATTTTATTTAGAACAACATCTGAAATTTTTAAACCAAAAAAACAAAAAAAACCTCTGAAATTTATTAGAATCCTTAATTTGGCTTACATGTTTTTTTCTTACGATTCTAAGAATATTAATATTTTTCTGGATATATATTGTCTAATTTGGCTTAAATGTGTCGATAGGATGTTGAAATCATTTTCCAAAAATGTTTTGACTGATTTGTGACAAGAAAGAAGAACCAGGCTTTAAAATATTATTTAATCCAAGAAAAAAATATCAATTGTGGATGTCTTTGATTAACAAACAAGAATACCTAACTTTTCTCATATATCAGAATTAGTTTAAATATCCGCTCAAGATTCCCTGGTTATCAAAGAATCAACCAAAAAACAGTAAGATAAACCAAATTTTCAGGTCCACAAGGAGGACAAATGCTCTCAGGAGCAGCTATGGTTGCAGAGGAGGAAGAGGAGGAGGAGGAAGCGGTGCCTAGTATGTCAGTATCGCCGCCGGATAGCGTAACATCGTCGTTTCAATTGGACTTTGGGATCAAAAGTTATGGTTACGAGAGAAGAAGCAATAAGAGAGATATTGATCATGAAGTGGAGAGATCTGCTTCAAGAGCCAGCAATGAAGACAACGATGAAGAAAATGGATCCACTAGGAAGAAACTTAGACTCTCTAAAGACCAATCTGCTTTTCTTGAAGACAGTTTCAAAGAACACAGTACCCTCAATCCTGTTCGTTTCCCATGCTTTACATTTTTTTTTTTTTTAATTTGTCAATCTTGAATTCATTTTTATCTTTTATTTCAAAGAAAAACCAAACCTTAGCCTTATATGCTTTTTTTTTTCCTTACATTGCAGAAACAGAAGATTGCGTTGGCAAAGCAGTTGAATCTTCGTCCTCGTCAGGTTGAAGTTTGGTTTCAAAACAGACGGGCCAGGTTAGCTTATTTTCAATTGTCTTTTTATGAAACGGTTTATTTTCTTCATTGGAAGTATATTTTTTGTGTTGAGGACGAAATGCATCACGAGTAATAATAACAAATTGTCGCATGTCATTATATTCCTTGTCATTTTTCGTGCAAAAGTAGTATATCACTTCCGCTCATCATTTCCATATATAATTGCTTATAGTGACTTATTTATAAAAGGAAAACAAATCATAACTCTTCTTTACATAATTTGACCCCCACAAAAGAAAGCCCTCTTCTTTGCATAACCAAAATATCACATTGTTTGGATAATTATCTATTGGTGGTTATGTAATTGATAAATGATAATAGGACAAAACTGAAGCAAACGGAAGTGGACTGCGAATACCTAAAGAGATGCTGTGAGTCACTAACCGAAGAAAACCGGAGGCTTCAAAAAGAGGTTAAAGAATTGAGAACCTTGAAGACTTCCACACCCTTCTACATGCAACTTCCGGCTACAACTCTCACTATGTGCCCTTCTTGCGAACGTGTTGCCACTTCAGCAGCACAGCCGGCCACGTCAGCTGCTCACAACCTCGGTTTGTCCACGTCATCATTGATTCCGGTTAAGCATCGGCCGGTACAAACAAGTCTCATGAAAGCACGTGTGCCCAAGTAAAAATCGTTACAGTTTGAGCAAACGGTCGAGTGGTTTTAAAAGTTGTCTTCATGTGTATATTTAGATTTAATTTTCATATCTTATTTGGGACCGTTTCCAATTTTAAAAGACGAATAGATTGATTATCCGGTTAGTGGTTTGTTTTTCTTGGATAGGACGGATAAAAAACAGATGGAGGAAAAGGGTTGACATGTTTAATTTATTGAATGATAGAAGACAAAAAAGAAAAAGGGAAAAATATTTGGTTTGATCTTGTAGACTTTTATTTGTGATTAAAGCAAAAGGGTTTGTCGTGCACAAAATCCTCACTAGATACGTTTAATTATCGAGTTTTAAATTTATAAAAATTCTTATTTCTTTTCTTTTTTGCTATAGGTTGATACATTTAAGTTAAACAAAAACAGCGTTTTTACAAGGAATATGAACATTACATACCCATAAGGTATATTCGCATGGACGTGACTGATTTTTCATGTCAACTTTCTTTAATCAAAGCATGCCACAACCCACAACATTGGCGAAAAAAAGCATCCCACAACAACATCGTAGGGAGAAAAAATTGAGAACCTTTAACACGAAACGAGAGCACTCACAAAATTGTATCATTCCAAGAGGTTAGACTGGTTAGGCGACCAATTCTGCTTTGCAACATGCGCCAGACTATTTTCTGTAAAAGAAAAAAGAGAAAAACAAGTGGTATTTTGTTTCATTATCTACTTCACACAAAACACAATTGTGTTAAATTTGTTTTAAACTTTAGTCAAAATCACTTTTATTTTTTAAAAATGAGTTTAAGTGTTAAATCTATATCATGCCGAATTTTGAACACCAAAGCTTACGGACCAACTAAGAACATGATGCCTAGACGCGGTTAGTTTTCGACGTGTTTAAAATTTAACAATTAAACTAATTTTTAAAAAGTTTTAGTAAAATTGACATGGTTTTAGTTTTAAAACCATTTTTTTCTTAAAGTTTAAGTGTTAAATTTGTTTTAAATTTAAGCCAAAATCACAATTATTATTTTAAAATGAGTTTAAGTGTTAAATCTATTTCACGTGAAAACATGCCGAACTTCAAACACCGAAGCTTACGGACCAACTAAAGACAGGATGCCTAGGCGCGATTAGTTTTCGACGTGTTTAAAATTTAACACTTAAACTAATTTTTAAAAAGTTTTAGTGAAATTGACATGGTTTTAGTTTTTAAAATATTGTTTTCTTAAAGTTTAAGTGTTAAATATATTTGTTTTAAATTTTAGTCAAAATCACAATTAGTTTTTAAAAATGAGTTTAAGTGTTAAATCTATTTCACGTGAAAACATGCCGAACTTCGAACACCGAAGCTTACAGACCAACTAAGGACTGGATGTCTAGGCGCGGTTAGTTTTCGACGTGTTTAAAATTTAACACTTAAACTAATTTTTAAAAAAATTAGTGAAATTGACATGGTTTTTAGTTTTAAAAACATTGTTTTCTTAAATTTGTTTTAAATTTTAGTCAAAATCACAAATATTTTTTAAAAATGAGTTTAAGTGTTAAATCTATTTCACGTGAAAACATGCCGAACTTCGAACTGCTTGTGGAAGTGTGTACAAGACCCTTTACATGTAAGACCGATTGCTCATGCTATTTGGGATCCTTATTTTGGTCAACTGCCTGTGGAAGTGTGTATCTTTGGTCGAAAACTAGTCCTAAGAAGTTTCTCGGAATCACCATTGGATGTCACAAATGATTAGATGCTTTAAAAAGTAAATTATGTAGTTTTGGTGCTACTCCCATCGCCACATTTTGCATAAAAAGAGTAATTGTGTACGGGTGAGTCTCGTGCTGCGTACTTCAGATATTATCCAGTTTTAAGCATCCGTAATCTTACTTTCTACACAAACATAAACACTTTGTGTTTTTCCCAATCTCCAACCAAAATAGTCACATGTATCTCTTTAAATTATCATATCCTGTACTTGGGATTTTAACAGAATTTAATTGGTAACAAGTCGCCACGTGACGAACAACTGCACCAGGTTGGATCTAATCGCACTTAACTCATAAAAGCATTTGACATAACGAAATTTTTTTAAAGACCTTCATGGTCTAAAAGTCCAAACATCCCATGTGAAACGTCGTCTGACCAAACCCGTTATCTTCGAATCCCAAAATGGACAGATTCTTTATTATTTAATTGTCGGTGATCGACAAATTCCACACCAAACTCTCACATCCATGTTCCAAATGCAAATTCTTGCGTTTACATTATAGACACTAAGCAAAACCAAGCTCTAATTAGATAGATCATCAAACATTAGAGTAGCGATAATTTGAATCAATTCCATTATAAATATGAATATGTAACCTCTCTTTGGAGCTAAATATAGTATTCGTCGTGACAAAAGCATTTACAACCATTAGTAACAAAGATATCGGGTGATCAATATTTTTAATTTTTTCCTTTTACTCTACACATTCTATAATCAACAATTACCATCACAATAGAAAGTAAAAGTGTTGAGATCAAACAAGTATTGGGGTGGAAGAACCTTAAGTTTTCCGTTGTGTTTGGCTGAGCTGATTGAGTTTGACTAGCAGCTCAGCGTAGAGGATTTCATTCCAAGAGTCGGGAACTCCCGGGAGGCACCAATGGCTGCAGTCTTGGTACAGCAAAGGCGTCTTTTTCTCTTTTTCCGATAAGCTATGTTTCCGGTATACTGACGGGTGACCGTCCTTCCTGTAGTCCGTCAATCTCGTGATGTTTAGATACGTGACGGGTGTTTTCATACCTCTTAGCACTTTCTCAAGCACCTTCATTTTAGACGGGTACGGGGTTAGGTATGTGTCATTCTTGATCGGTTCTGTTTCGCTATCGCATGCTCCTCCTGAGTTCCATTGCCCACCACTGCAACACAATTCCAAAAGTGTCAAGATTTAGGTTTCAATTATTTCAAACACCAATTTATGTGTTAAAATGCTACAGATTGTGTGTTTATTTGGAGAAAATGCACACTAGACCTAAAGATTGAGACCTTCGATTCGTAGATGCAAAGACAGTCTGCATTTACCTGAAATGGGAGGCGGAGTAGCCCCGAAAGAAAACGAGGGACTTTGCAGGATTCACATTCTTCTCGACCCATCGACCCCATGTAGTCAAAGCTTTACGAAAAGCTTCAAGAACAGCGAGTTCATGATAAACATTGCTTCCTTCTTGATAATAATCCTCCCTATGAAACAAAAACACCAAAATCAGATCTACATTATACAACACAAAGACAGAGCAAATATTCCGGTAGATTGAGAGAGATTTTAGTATATACCCTTTAGATGTTTTCTCGTGAGTCCACCAATGTCCGGTATTAAATACAATAATATCCGCTCCCTTGTACTGCTCAGAGGACTTCCCAACCAAATCCAACCTTAAAGTCTCCTTCTTTGTTCCTTTCTTGTCTACAATTTCCCATTCTTGAACCAAGAACGGTGAAACAAAGAACTCCACCGTGCAGTTATAATCCTATCAATCAAATTGAAAACCTTCAATATATAAAACTATTAAGAACCAATTGGTCTATAAGCAAATCAAGAAGAAGCATTACTTGGAAGACGAAAGAGTACTCGGCCTCCCCACGAAAATGATGTCTTCCTCTAGCCTCGTAGACTTTAGTCTCATCTTTCACTGATCCTTTAAGAATACAAACCAGTGATTCCCACATGTTCCTATTTAGAGAATCACCCACAAAGACTAGTCTTCTTCCTCTAAGCATCTCCAACAATATAGCTCCATTTAACCTTCACATATAAATATTGATCTATTATTAGATACAGAGCCTTAAGGCTAAATATTAAATTTAGAAATTATTCCGACCAAAACTTCTTACCTTGGTAAACTACATTTCTTAGGTTTCCACTTCAATTTCTGGAAATCTTTGTCGGGTCTTCCGTTGGAAATACAATTGAACTGTTCATCGATAAGCTTACACGAACCGGGTTTATAAAGCGGGTACGAATCATCTTTGATCCATTCACCGTCGAAGAACTCGCAATTCTTCAGAGAATCTCTCCATTTCTCGATCTCTTGCTTCATCGAAGAAACCAAATCAACGTTTTTAGTCTGCTTTTCTGGTGTAGAAGAAGCAGTTGATGAATTGGAACTAGAATTGGTCTTCAGATCCACCGACACCGGTGCTTTCGACGGCGCCGGAACTGTTGTCTGGTTTCTCTTCACGGTTTCAGTATCGCTGGTGGTCCGTGACTGATTATTCGATCCCGTCGCCGAGGATTTGTCTGAAAGCAGAGGATGAGATAAAGTGTTGTTCTTTGCAACTGGGTTGGTTCCGTTTACGATCGGAGGCTCAAAGGTTGTGTTTTTAGCAATCGGAGTATGAGTTTCCGGCGCCGGTGCTTGTAAAGTAACGTTTTTGGAATTCGAATTGAGAGACGGAGAAGTGGCGTTAACAGAGATAGGATCTGTTGCGTCACTGGATCTATTGGTGGGTTTGGTTGAAGTGACATTGGGGAGGATATAAGAGAAAATTGAAGAGAACTGAGATCCGGAAGTGTTGTCTGATACCGAAGTTGTGGTGGTGGAGGAGGAAGTGAAGATGTTAGAGAACCAAGGAGAAGAAGAGTTTGGAGAAGGACTAAAAGCAAAAAACAGAGTAAAAGAGACAAAGGTTATTACAAAAGCGTAAGCGAAAGTTGAGGGTTTTTTGGGTTTCAAAGCAGAGAAGAAGCTCTTGATGTCGGCGGCGGTTGTTGTTGTTGTTGTTCCTCCGCCGTGGATTGGCATATACTTAACGGCGTCTGACGCCATAGACGGAGAGGTGGAGGGGGCACTAGTAGTGGTGAATGTGGTGTGCTGTGGTGGGGAGTTCGTGGCGCGTGACGAGTGTTTTTAGGGTTAAGGGAGAGGAAGAAATTGCAGAGAGAGAGAGAGAGAGATGTGTATGATGAAGAAAAAAAAGGAAAAGAAGATGACTTTTTTAGAAACAAGGAGAAAGGTGTTTCGTTAACGGACCATTTGTTTAGGCAACATCGTTAAGGGGGATGACTTAAAGTGAAGAGCTTCCAATTAAAATACCCCTCGTTTTTGAAGTTATTTACTTAAAATGCCACTTCAAAGAAGCGTGTCGGTGGGTTTGAGATTCGAATTTTAATTATTGTCTTTTGCCCCTATCTAATTCTAATCTACTTCGGTCCCCAGGTTCGACCCGTAGAGAAAAGTGTGATTAAATGTTATGTTAATAATGGAAAGATTAGTGGTTAGTGGTTGTGTTACTAACTATATGATCCGAAAAATATGCTTTTGCCTTTAAATAAAGGAAATCACAAGACATTTTAGGATATCACAATCTATCTTTATATTAGTTTACTCGAGATTTAAATTATACTCCTTGATTTAAGACATTTTCAAACGTAAAATCTATTAGTAGAAAGAAAGAAAGATAATAGTGACCCATATTTATCTTTTATATGAAGAAAAAAAAAAAAAATTTATCTTTTATATATATATATATATTTTTTTGGGTTTAATGTTAATGTATGGAATGATGGTAATGTCCTTGACAATAATAATATACAAAATACTAAATCGCGTGTATTAAAGTCTTTAGCGTGTGGACTCTTTCCTCTACTTGTTTTGACTCTCTAATCTTCTGCCTTTATTTTCTTTAAAACGTACTTTATTTTCTTTAAAACGTACTTCACCAGCTCTATAAGAGAAATCGCTTTTTAACCGACAAGTATAACATATTTAGTTTAACATATTGCTATGTATGTTTATAAATCACTAGCTCTAAGTATGTGATTTCTATATTAGTTTTAACATATAACTATGTCTTCGAATTATTATATCTAGTAACCACATGCTTATACGTTATAGTCCGACAGTATATAACTATGAAGGATGATTAAGTGAAGACAAGAAAAATAACGAAATAGTTTGGGTAATTCCATCGTCACAAATTGATTTCAAGGCATCATATTCAGATCAATGCACCGTCATAAATTTGGCTTTTCTTTATTTGATTTTCTGATTAACCAAAAAGGTTTAAAATAGTTTTCAACGTTTCTAATCCATTCGATGCAATGAAATTTTTTGTTCCAAGCTGTAAACACAATTTTTTAACTATGAACAACCAAATAATTATTTAGCAAAAAAAAAAAAAAAAGCCAAAATCATTTTCCTAGAGTTTATAAGGTTCCTTTTGGGTTTTAATTTGTCATAAAAAACTAATTAAGTCACTAATAACATTTAAAAAATGTCTATTTTAAACAAATTAAAAACACAATGAGAGAAATTAAGTAGGCCCCACCAGCAGCACATCGTTGGCATTTGTCCAACTCATCTTCCGGATAAGCTCTCTATCCATCTCCTCACATCTCTTCCCAAAAGTATCAAAACAAAAAAGAAATCTTAATTATGGCATATGAAAACTTAAAAATATCTCATCATATATCTTCATCGTCAAAAATTTACTGAAAGCAAAAAAACTAATGGCAGCTTTGGCATCAAACCCTCAAATGCTAACTAGACAAGCCCACGGTAACAAGAAGGAACAATTTTGGAGGAAAGAGAGTTTGAATTTGGAGAAGAAGTGTGGGTTTTGTGTAAGCGTTTACAATAATGAAAAGCTTGGGAGGTCACATATGGAGAAAGAGCGGAGACTAAAAGCCTTTTGGTCAAACATATCTCAGCCTACGACTTTGGAGATGGAACCCATTAACAACGTTGAAGAACTCGATGCTGTTCTCTCTCACGCACGCCAACTCTCTCAGCCTATCATCATCGAATGGTAAACACACCAAAAACATATCTTATCCAATCTCCATAATCTAAATTAGTACTGGTTCTTTATAGGCAAGCCCGTCCAGAGCATGGTCAAAATTAGATTTAACAAAAAAAATCATATAAAAATTAAAAAGCACAATTTTTTTTTTTTTTTTTTCATTTTTGGTAATGGTTGAACTCCTTTCTTATAATGACGGATAACGAAAGAGTTTAGCCATTTTGTAGTTTTTTGGTAAGGTTACATTTTTTGTTCGCAAGATTATTTTGCCGGTTTTTTACAAGTCAAGACATACCAATCAGAGCCTCTATATATGTTTGATTATGAAGAATTGGGAGAAATATTTGGGCAGGATGGCTTCTTGGTGTCGTAAATGTATTTACTTGAAGCCTAAGTTGGAGAAATTAGCTGCAGAATATAATAACCGGTAAGTTAACAACAAAATCAACAATTTACAAGAATGTTGTTGCAAAATATTGTGAACTAAATGACTTTTCTTGTAACAGAGCAAAGTTTTACTATGTGGATGTAAACAAGGTCCCTCAAACCTTGGTGAAACGTGGAAACATTTCGGTAAGATATATGCTTAAACATAATTTTATTCTTCTTGTGATGTGGTATGTGCCAAATCTGAACCAACTTCCATATTCGTGTGTGCTATGCAGAAAATGCCCACTATTCAGGTATGCTGACTTTCTTGTAATACAACTTTATTGTTTTGAGTTTCTTGAGATGCATTTGACAATAAGGTAATAGTGAAAGCATTTGACAATAAGGGAATGGTGAATGTAGTTATGGAAGGAAGATGAGATGAAAGAAGAGGTGATAGGAGGTCACAAAGGTTGGCTTGTCATCGAAGAAGTTAGAGAATTGATCAACAAATATGTCTAGTTCTCATTTTTTTCCTTCCTTTTTTTTTTTCTCTAATATGTACAGTCAGTTTTCTTATTTCCTTTATTTACAGTTTATATCCAATTTCAAACTTAAAAACTCTTTTTTCGGTAATCAAGAAATTTCACAATTACAATTCAAATCGCTGTGAGCTAATGCTCGTGCTCGTGCTCGATCTCAGGCCGTGGCCACTGAAGCATCTAGAGAGCGAAAAATTCAGAGTTTGGAGCCTTTCACAGTATGGAAATACGCATTATGAAGAAGCAACTGATTCCTTCTTATATCAACCAAGTCACAAAACAAATCATACAAATCAGTGAACCACATGGAGGAACGTAAAAAAAAAAAAAAACTAAAGCTGGAGATCATCAGACTGATAGCACAAATTCAAACACAAACCTTCCCCAATTTACCAACACAAAGAATCTGTTTCCCAATCCTAAACTTTGAAACAAGCCATTTAAAAAAAGCAATCTGTGCAAAAGACACAAAATCTATGAGGCAGTCTCATAAATAAGAAAGATTCTTCCACGCACCTAGATTTTAAGAAAAGAACCTCTGCATCCCTGGTTCAGGAGCCCATGCTGCAATCAGCGGTTAGTGAAAGACGTAGATCATGTCTTCTTCTCTTGCTATTGTGCAATATACTTTTCAACTAAACCTGATACTCTTTCAACTTTCTTATCCTTTGGAATGCAATCGGCTGTAGAACTCAGTGAAGTCAAGCCGGAAGAAGAGAAACTTGAGATCTACAGATTGTTGCAGAGGCAAAAGAGATAGGAATCCATCGAGTGAGGATGTGTATTCCTTTGCAATACTGTCCATATCTTGACTCATGCTTTGAAGAAATTCTCCAGCACGCTGTGTTAAGCCCTTCCTACCCTCACTGATCCATGAACCGGGCTCTAGCGATTTGTTTTTTTCTCGTCCTGATTCTTTAGATCTGCAGAAAATCGGTGATATTAGAGATCAATTTGAGGAAGATGTTTGAGCAAAAGTTTAAAGTATACTTTTGTTTGAATTTAAAATAGATTTTAAGACAAAACTCACCTTATTTGCAACTCGTAAATTCCTTCATACAAACGATCTGCATGACTCCTGAACCGTAATATAAGCTCAAACAGGACGAAAAGTGATTCGCGGATGGTCTGTGACTGTTCACCCAGGAGAGATTTTCCAACAATGGCGTTGAGGTACTTCTCATGTGCTGCCACGAGATCATCCAAGTCTTTAGCAGCTTCCATCTCTTTTGAGAAATTAGACCATGACACCTCCAATACTTCAAACATGATGTAATACTGAAAGTTAGTAACAAAATGGTTCATTTCATTCCAAAGGACCTGGCACCGCCTCAGGGCTGAGAGCAATTGTAACTTCACCGAAGTTTGGAGCTTAACGAATGAGTTCGAAGTGATGCAATTTGGTTTCATGGTCTTCCAAATTCCGATAAGAGCATGCTCTACCCGTTTCAACTTCCAGAGAAAATTGAACACTCTCAGGTATTTGGACAAAACAGACTCAGTAAACACGGTATCTAATGGAACCCTTGCCTCATATTCCAATGAGAATACATCCCAGCCTCTGTCTCCACTGCCATGAGGCATCATCTTCACTCTCAATCTGTCTAGCATGTCACGGTCATCATACTGCGCATTTGATGCTCGTATTGCAGCCTCAAGAAACCCAGCTAGTTCAAATGAACTAATATTATTGGCTGGCTCAGAAAGCTTAGGTCCTACAATATCCATCAAGTATTGAACAAAATCACCTTGACCAAGTAGTAAATAACGCTTAATGGCAAGACAATGCTCCTTGAATTTATATCTCTTATATAGAACATCCAACAGATGCTTGTCGATTCTTTTTGCTGCCTCGGTAACAAGATGTTCAAGTGCATCTGTTTCACCATACCCGAGACCTCCTCGCCTTGTCGTCGTCCCAGATGCAGCTGCTGCTTCTGAAGCTGCATCAGCCCACCCGTGATCATCACAGCAAACACGAAGAAAGTTTATAGATTTCCCAGTTCTCAGAATTCTCTGAGCGAGACTCGGTGAAATAAAAGACGGAAGCATCGCTGGGTGGAGCTTGTAACCTTCTCTCCAAAGCAAATCGACTTTAACAGGCTGACCAACGATAAAGAATTCACCAAAAGTATCTTCCAACTCTCCTTCTAGAACCCAACTTCTCACCATTTCAAACAGCGGAGAACACACACATCGGAGCAGATTCATCATAAAATCATGAACAAGCGGATCACCATGCTGTGCGTGCAAATGGATAGCCCCAGCCATCGCCCCACCTCTCAGTACCTTACACTTGTCAACCAAAACAGCCATCAGTCTCATTTTCACCATAGGCTCCGCAAACCATACCGACAACCTCCTCAAAGAAAGGTAATTACTTGAGCTAGCTGATTCAGAAACCAAAGGAATAGGATTCATGGCCTGCGCTTCCAGCACAGCCAATAACTTATAATAATCAGAGAGCTCATCTTGCAATGCCGCACAAAACGCTTGCCCAACAGTTCCCACGTCTTCAGCTGGAAACCGATCCATACTCTCGGTTATAAAAGTCTTAACCTTTCTAAACAACCAGCCAAGCTCAGAGAGCATACGAACCATAATCCTAGTAGCTCGAGGCACCTTAACAGAGTCCTGCACCGCATAACCGTCAATTTCGCTGTTAAATTTGACATATTTCCCATCAATACCTTGGGAAGCATACAAAACATCTCTCACTAGAACCTCCTCCGTCACTTCATTCTCTTCCTTAACCAAAACCGCATACTCTCTAAACGCAATATCCCGCAAATTCTCAGGATCTTTACTAACCAACAAAACCCCATTACTCCAATCCTTCTTCTTAGCCTCCCCACGGCGCGAAAACACATTACCAGCATCACCAAGCCCCAAATTAGGTAACAAAACCGACGAATCAAGACCATTTATAGCCGATTTACGATCATCAGAAACGATTTTAAGCAAATAAACAAGAGCCCATTTGTTATTGACACTGCCTGGTCCAGTCTTGGAAGCGAACTTAGTGTAGAGATCGGCAAAAGCGAGTGCGTCGGAGGACTTACCCTGAGTAGCGAGACGGCGTTTGAGAGACTCAGCGATAGCGGTGGCGTCAGGGAGGACGGAAGGAGTAAGGCGGCTAGAGAGGATACGAAAGGCGTAACGAAGGGTTTTGAGGAAGGCGGGAGAATTGGGATCGAGATTAGGGGTTTGAGGGTTTTGGGAGACGAGACGAAGAACAAGCTCTTGTACTAGATCTGCAGCCTTCTGCTGATCGTCGTCTTCCATCAATTCAAGCTTTTGCCTTTTTTTTTCTTCTTCGATTCGATTTCAACTTTTTTGATTTTTGGTTGTTCGAATTTTTGTTGAATTTGATTTTTGAATCGAAAGAGTATTTTGCAGAGTGAGAAGAGTAGTGTGACTGAATGAATAAAAAAAAAGATGGGCTCTTTTGGACTTTAGAGCTGTACTCTTAATTTTTTTCCTCGGCGGGCAATTGAATATGTTGAAATCCAAAAACATATGCTAAATACTATCTACTCTCTTTTAATATGAAGTATATAAAAGTGTTATTTCAAATTCTTTTTTCTCTATAGTATTTGAAAAATGGAGAAAACAAATATCAGAATAAACCTAATGTATCGTTATGAAATTAATTATAAAAATGTTAGTTGATATGTTACTTTAGAAATTTTTGAAATTCACATATGAAAAAGAATCTCATAATATTTAATTCACAAATCACAACCACAAGCTCAATACTTATTATAAAAGCTACCAATAAAAATATATACTTAAAAAAGAAAAATTAATTAGCATTAAAAAGGAGCTTTTTAGTTTTATCTACCACATTAATATATTTATTGAGCAAAATAACAATGACATCTATAAAAAAAAAAAATCATTTTAGACATTTGTCATTGGTGATCTGAATAGAGGAAATAAATTAGGTAGTCAAACTAAAATATCTGTCCTCATTATTATTCTCATCTATCAAAGATGAAAATAAAAGAAGCTTATTTCCTCTTTAATCCATTGAAAAAAATAAAAGTACAAGATCGGAATAAAAATAAACCTATTTACCATATGTGGAAAAATATTCCCTGTAACAATCACTTTCTACTTTTCACTAATTAATTTCTCTATATATTCTTTTTGTTACAGATTGCAACACATTTATAAACTACTTTACATTCATTTCCATATCTTATCTTTTTCTCACCAATTTACTTCCTTATCGACTAATCATATTGATTCAATAATAATGACATAGGAAAATTTTGCGTCTCCTTCCCTTACAAAATCCGTGACGGGCAAATAAATACCGTACATTGTATACTATTCTTCTCTTATCCTTTATCTCTTGCTTACACACCTTTAATGATGTTTTTAGTGATTACAGTTTACGAGAAAAAACGAATAAACAATTGAAACAATCGAGTAGGATTAAGGATTTTAAGGGTATAATCGCTTCAAAGGCAAGCGAGATTATTAAAAAAAGTAAACACTCTTTACACAACAAATCGCAATCATCTAACTGATTTTGCTTTTCTCTTTAAGTTCAGCTTCTTCTACGTAATTAGTATTTACTCTCTCTCTCTCTCTCTCTTGCATCATCATAATCCTTTCTTTGCATGCGATTCGGCTTTTAGCGGCGGCGATGCTACTTTGAGGTACCCACTTGCCTCTCTTCCTCTCTTTTATTGGATTTTTCGACCTAAGCTGCGTTTTTGTCTCCAAGTGTTCGAAGCTCCCACGTAGTGGCATTTCCGTAAAATTCTCTTGTTCCTCCCATTGTGATTCTCACACTCGCTTACCAATTGAGCATTGTAAACCCCCAATTTCAATTCTTTCGTGTTCATTTGCTAGTTGCTCTATGAGTTTCTTAAGAAACTTTTGAATACACTTTTGAATTTTTAGCTCATTACATAGTCAAAGCATAATTCTGTTAGCTTGATGAAGGTTTGTACTTTCTTCATTTTCTCAGTCACCGGAAATTTTGCATTTGGTTTCTGATGATGGGATCTAAACAAGTGTCGAAGTCTAGAAATGCTGGGCTTAGTAAGTTTAAGGATGCTGAGTCCCCTGTATCTTCAACAACCTCGTCTTCCAAACTTTATCCAGAGACGTCTGTGGATAGCCATAGCCCCCCTACGTCTTCATCTGCTCGAAGCAAGCCTCATTTACAATATACAGGAAAGGTACCCCCTAAGCCTTTGCAGTCCAAAGAAAATGTCACTGTCACAGTTCGTTTTCGTCCACTCAGGTGAATGTTGATTTCGCTGTGTAGGATTCAAACACTTATAAGTTTGATGTTTGTTTTATGAATTGTTGACATTGGTTTATGTTTGATCATAGTCCGAGGGAAATCCGCAAAGGAGAGGAGATTGCATGGTATGCAGATGGGGAAACAATTGTGCGGAATGAGCATAATCAGTCAATAGCTTATGCCTATGGTTAGTCTTTACTGTTTGACTAGTATTCATGAGTTTCTGTAACCATCATTAATGTTGTTCTGTGGACTAGATTGAAGTTTCCTGCATCTTGAATGAAGACCTAATTTAAACTACATGTCAAAGTCCAATCTGCCATTTTGTTTCTTGAAATTTCTGTCCTTTGCAGATCGTGTTTTCGGGCCTACGACGACAACACGCCATGTCTATGATGTTGCTGCTCAGCATGTAGTTAATGGTGCTATGGCGGGGGTCAACGGTATGGACTAAACACTTATTATTGGCCTATCTAGTTAAGACTTTATTCTTAGAAGATAAAAAGATATTTATGTTATCAAAGCTAGCTACAGTATCATGAACCGTTTGCATGAGCAACCATTTAGAAAATGAGATCTTTGAGTTGCCAAACTGTATCATCTAGTCTCTAGAACACTTTGAGTTGCCAAACTGTATCATCTAGTGCTTCTTCTAATCTCTAGAACACTTTGAGTTAGCTTTTTTTGCCAATTTGATTTTAATGTAGTGAGTGTTAATCCAACCACAGGGACCATTTTCGCATACGGAGTGACAAGCAGTGGAAAAACTCACACTATGCATGTAAGATTCACTAATCATGATGTTTCTTGCTTTTCAACTTATTATAATAAAATGTATTAGGTTACTACCTTGTACAATGTACTTCAATGTGTCATCCCAGACATGCTTCTCTGTCAGAGAGTCATTTATCTCTTCCTTCGTTTCTGGCTAAATCACTGAGTAGTTCAGGAGCAAAGTTTCTCTCCTATAGTAGCCATAACGATTAGCAGTGGAACTTGACGTTTGTATCCTAATTTTTTTTTTTTTTTTTTGTGTGATGGATTTATGGCTATTCTCCTTCTAGCTAGTGTTATTCTGTTGATCCTATAATGGCGGATGATTTTGCACTTCATTTTTGGAGACCATGTTTACGTTTAAAGATGTGCATGAAATAAGAACAATTTTATCTCATGAAGACAGTTTTGTTTGGTTCAAATGTCAGGGGGACCAAAGATCTCCTGGTATAATACCATTAGCCGTGAAAGATGCTTTCAGCATTATACAAGAGGTACTTCTTAGGATGTTGATTAGTCGAATTCCCTGGCCTAAGTGCTAGTTATATCACACATTTTATTTTTCTCGCAGACACCAAGGCGAGAATTTCTCCTACGTGTTTCTTACTTTGAAATATATAATGAGGTGCTACTCACTACCTGATTTTCTTCTCTCCATTCACTATAATTACTTCACCAGTGGTGCTAAATGAATGTCAGATTCTGCTTTTGATATTTCTTAATATTCTTAAGGTTCATTCTACTTCAGGTTGTCAATGATTTATTGAACCCAGCTGGACAAAATTTGAGGATCAGAGAAGATGAGCAGGTACTTGTTTCAGTATTTGATCCTCTTATTTCACTGTCTCTTATATAATTGTTGTTATTATAAGTGCTCATCATAGAATCTTAAAACCTTGCACACCATATTTGTTTAGTTAGAGGAGACATAGTTTCTCGGCTAGATGCGTGAAAGTACTTTCATTTTCTTATAAATGAAATTCTCTTGGATCCTGCAAATACAATGTGAAAAGTAGTCTGATTATCAATATTTGAATGTTCTAGGTTACATTTCTTATTCAAGTATGGGCTAAAAAATTTAGAATAAACTTGACAACTTCTATTGCTTTGAGTGCCTTTCCCTCTAAAATTCTGCAATGAACCTCTCTTTATTGCCGATGTAGGGAACCTTTATCGAAGGGATTAAAGAAGAAGTTGTTCTATCCCCTGCTCATGCGCTTTCTCTTATAGCAGCTGGAGAAGGTAGGCACTTCCATGTAATTCTTAAGAGTTTTTTTTTTGTCAGAAAGTGTTTTCCTTAATCAGTTGGGGGTTTTCCTCTTATGTGATATGAGATAGCAATTCTAAAGACTAGCATTCTCTTTCTTGATTCCAGTAGTTTCATTTCATTCTTAAACCTTCTCTTGAATCTAGTACTTTTTTCTACATTCTTATGTTTATCATGTAAGTCATCTTGATTTCGTTTGACAGAGCACAGACATATTGGATCCACAAGTTTTAATTTGCTCAGCAGCCGAAGCCATACAATGTTTACCCTGGTATGTTTATTTTTCGCATTCAAAGCATGAAGAGATTTGTTTCTTTGATTTTGCTTTCCCCTGTTTAGTAATGTTAAGTATACAGTTTGGCTTTCTTTTCATATCTATTAGTATAGCTATACCGTTTCTGAAAGATGTTATAACTGGTTTGGTTGCAGACTATAGAGAGTAGTCCCTTGGGTGACAATAATGAAGGTGGAGCTGTACACCTCTCGCAGCTGGTATAACATCTTTTGTTTTTATCCTGTGATTTTATGTTAGGTGATAGCTTACTTTTTCTTCAACTCTGATAACTGTTTATTATTGCACTGTCTAAACACTTAAAGGTGAACAACTGATTAACTGCCCATAATTTCACTTATATCTGCAGAACCTCATTGACCTGGCAGGTTCTGAGAGCTCAAAGGCTGAAACCAGTGGTTTAAGACGCAAGGAAGGGTCTTATATAAATAAAAGTTTGCTGACTTTAGGGACTGTGAGTCCAATTATCACTGTTTTCCTCAGCAACAATAGAATTTCGAATTTTAATTGAATTTAAGAACTTCTTTGCCTTTTTCTTTGGATAGATATCTGCGCATATCTTCTTTTTCTTTTCCTCCTCTACAGCTGAAAACCTTGGTTGGCTCTTGCCTTCAGTCATTATGTTAAGTCATCTCCCAAAAGCTGAAGTTGGATCGTTCTTTTGCAATTCTGTAGGTAATATCAAAACTTACAGATAGGAAGGCTAGTCATGTACCATATAGGGACTCTAAATTAACCAGGCTGCTTCAGTCCTCATTGAGTGGGCATGGACGTGTATCTGTAAGTGGTGTACTTGTTAGATATCTGTTTTAGCTTCTTTTTGCAATAAATGCCGCACAGAACATGACCATAGGCAGCAGAAAACAATTCTTATGATCGATTTAACTGATTGATTGTTCCATCTGGATATGATAGCTCATATGTACAGTGACTCCTGCATCAAGCAGCTCCGAAGAAACACACAACACATTGAAATTTGCCCATCGTGCAAAGCATATTGAGATTCAAGCCGCACAGAACAAGGTCTTAGTTACATCTATTCTTTAAGCTCAGTGCATTTCCGTACTGAAGGTTCATTCTGGATTTCTAACCCAAAAAAATACAGATAATTGATGAGAAATCATTGATTAAGAAGTATCAATACGAGATTCGCCAACTCAAGGAGGAGTTGGAACAGCTTAAAGAAGGAATTAAACCAGTTTCTCAGTTAAAGGATATTAGTGAAGATGATGTTGTTCTCCTGAAGCAGAAAGTATGTCTTTTCTGTCAATGATCCCTGCTTAAATGTTTGCAACGGACCGATGATACTATACTGTATCGAGCTTCAGTATCTGGAGAATTGAAATCTGCTTTGCATGCTTTTCTTTTGATGTGACTATAAAAGCTAGAAGAAGAGGAAGATGCTAAAGCAGCTCTCTTGAGTCGAATCCAACGGCTTACGAAACTAATCCTCGTGTCTACTAAAACTCCACAAACATCGCGGTTGTCTTATCGTGTTGATCCTTGGAGGAGACACTCATTTGGAGAAGAGGAGGTAGAATCACTTGTCTAGCCTAGAGCTATTTTACTAAACAATATAAAACATTAACTCTTCCATTTCCCTACAGCATGTCTGCCAATTACTATTTTTTTGGCTGATCTTAGTTGATAATGCATGGCCAGCTTGCTTACCTACCGTATAAGAGGCGCGACTTGACGGATGATGAGAACCTTGAATTCTATGTTTCTCGTGAAGGGACTCCTGAGATTACAGATGATGCGTTTAGAGAAGAAAAGAAGACAAGGAAGCATGGCCTACTGAACTGGTTGAAACTTAAGGTACACATTTGCTTGTAGAATTTTTATGGCTTTGATAAACTTTTACTGTTGGCTGCTCTTGTTTAGTTCGGAGCATTTCCCTCAACTTCGTAGCCTCATAGTATAGTTAATACTGTTGTATACAGTGTCCTGCACATCATATATCTAGCACTCTATGTGCTTCCAAAAAATTATGCTCCTGGTGTGCATGAGATATCACACCGCTTCATTCCTTCTTAGTTAGATTTTCTTTTTTCGGGCGGTGTCTCTCTTGCCACCTTTTCTCTCATTACTGTTTTACTATCAGAAAAAAGAAAACAGTTTGGGGGGATCAAGCATCAGTGACAAGTCCAACAGTACACCGTCAACTCCTCAAGGAGAAGGCAGTAATTGTCGTACAGGATCTAGACTTTCAGAAGGCTCCGCATTGGCAGATCAACTCTTAGAGACTAGGGATAATGAAGAAGCTCATGAAGATAGTTTTCATGAGATTGAGACACCTGAGGTACATTGAGATTTTTTCACAGCTGATAGCTCATTCCATTTCCATCAATTGGTTTCTTGAGCTTTCTTTTTGAGCAACTGATGTACGATTTTTAAGGCATTGTATACTTGTTCCCAGACTAGAATAAAAATGATCAATCAGATGGAAACACTGAGGGAAAAACAAAAGATTTTATCTGAGGAGATGGTGCAACAATCAAGGTCTCTTAAACTGTTGTCAGAAGAGGCTGCCAAAGCCCCTCAAAATGAAGAAATTAAAGTAATTTTTGCATTCTGTTCATGATCTTTATCATATTTTCGATCAAACTTTGCAGATATTTACCTTCCTGGTTGTCTTTGGATGTATGCAGGTGGAGATTAAAAACCTCAATGGCGACATCAAGGCAAAGAACAACCAGATTGCTACTTTGGGGAAACAAATTTTGGATTTTGTTATAGCATCACAAGATGAATTGGTAAAATCTGATATCGTACAGGTGGGTTATATATTTCAAACATCACACAGTTGCCTTGTGCATCTTGTTCTGATATTTATTGACGTTAGATTTTCTCTCAAGTGATTTCTCTCTTATCTTCAGGCTGTTTCTGAAATGAGGGCTCAACTAAATGAGAAATGTTTTGAACTCGAGGTGCTGAAAATCTCTCTCTTTACACAGTACTTCAGCTATTAATTGATACTGCACCTACATATCTTATTAATTGATAATTGATGGCTTTGCTATATCATGCCTGCTACTATATATCTGTTTTAGCTCGATATGATCTGTTATGGATTAGTGAAGACTCCTTTTACTCAGTATTAATTTTACAGGTTAAAGCTGCAGATAATCGTATCATTCAGGAACAACTCAACCAAAAGGTTCAGATAATACCTCGTCTCTTTCCCTGATTACACCTTATTGAGGAGCCTTCTAAGCTAGTGTGTGCAAACATGTCAAAGAAATCTGTAACTGATCAACTTTTTTCTGCAGACATGTTTATGTGAAGAGTTGCAAGAAGAGGTTGCAAACCTAAAGCAGCAGCTCTCTGACGCCCTGGAACTGGTAGATATCAGCTCGGTCACAAGTCACATGCAAAAATCTTCTGAATCGCCAAACAAAAATAAAGAAAAAGTCATAGAGGCACAGGTGAAATTCTCATATACTTCACAACAATTTATTGTAAACATTTTTTTCCCTGATGGCCTGATCTTTCTCTTCCCTTATATTTTGATATATGAAAATCTGAACATTATATTCACTATCTGACTGATACATAACAGGCATTTGAGATTGAAGAGCTTAAACTGAAAGCTACAGAACTAAGTGACTTGAATGAACAACTAGAACTCCGAAATAAGAAACTAGCTGACGAGAGTTCATATGCGAAAGAGCTTGCTTCAGCGGCTGCTATTGAGCTCAAGGCATTGTCTGAGGAAATAGCAAGACTTATGAATCACAACGAGAGACTAGCAGCTGACCTGGCAGCGGTGCAGAAGAGCTCTGTTACACCACGGGGCAAGACAGGAAACCTGAGGAATGGAAGGAGAGAAAGTGTTACAAAGAGGAAAGAGCAAGACAACTCGTTGATGGAACTGAAGAGAGAACTGAGTATAAGCAAAGAACGTGAAGTTTCATTTGAAGCTGCTCTAGTTGAAAAAATCCAGAGGGAAGCCGAGCTACAAAGAACAGTAGAAGAGTCGAAACAAAGGGAAGCGTATCTAGAGAATGAACTTGCTAATATGTGGGTTCTCGTTGCCAAGTTGAGATCCCAAGGAGCTGCTAATTCAGGTTTATCTGATTCAGTATCAGAGACACAACAAATCGACCATTTTAGGACTTAAGTTATGATTTGAGATTCGTGTGATTTTGAGCTTGTACATTTGTATGCAATTCTCATTCCCTGACCTTCCTGGGCTTGATTTTTTTTGTTTGCTGGTAATGCTTTAAGGGAAGTATCCTGAAGGAAAATCTTTTGTGCAAAGTAGTTCTTTTAACTAGCAATTTGCTAGGGACATCTATATGTTCTATCAATATACACCAAAAGGCTAACCAAGTTCAACATAAAGCTTAGCTGCCTAGAGATATTTTCAGTACAAGTAAATGGGGCATGTTCACCACTATCTGCAGGAACCCTGCAAATCCTTAGATGATGGTATCTTTCCAGCATTTAGAACTTTCAAGCTGATCAGTTTACCATTGCTGATCCCTAGTTTGCAAATCTTCAATTCCTAACAAGTCTTACATTGCTAAGAACATGACCTGAGCCTATTTGTAAATTAACCCATTACACTTTACAAAACCCTATCCATGTGTACTCTTGTTACCTACATCTTTCATTAACCTCTCATTTCAATCTCCAAACAATCCATATGCATGAAAACTGATCAGAAAGATGTCAATGCATATGAAAAGGAGTTGAACATACAAAGATCAAGACTGAGTTTGAAAGTCAGAATTAAGAAAACAGCAAATGCAGGACCTGCATCGTTACTACACCAGAAGAGTAGATCATGTAAACGAATCCAAATCAAAACCACATACTAGAGAAAACTCAAAAATCGAAACTTTGAAAGTGTATATCATCAAATTGAACTGAAACAAGACCACTACATCAGCATTGAGCTAACCATGAAAATTTCAGAGTAACAACGAGCTCAGAGAATACAATTCATCAGATCAATTCGTCTTTGGATCGGGCATAGGGAACAAACCACCAGCACCAGCAGCTCCTCTAGGTGGAGAGAAACCCAAAAACTTCTGCAGATTAGTCCTAATACTGATAGAACAAAGCAGATAAAGAAAAGCCATGGAACAATCAGTGGAATCATCTCCTTTCAATCCTCTATGACTCATCTTCCTCACAATCGTAATCGGATGAAACGGAAGCTTCGCTACAACTTTCCCTTCGAAAAGCGAATTCAACAACCCAAACACAACAAAGAGAACCAGAGCCACAACGGCACCAGATTTAAACTTGAAGAGCGACAGATCTCTGCTCGATTCCTTTAAGCTGGATTCAACGCGATCTATCTTCTTCGTCTTCGACTTCTTGATTGCTAGCTTCGAGGAAGGATTATCTGTCTTCATCGTCTCCAGCTTCTTGGAGGCTTTGTCAATGGAAGATTTCAACGATTTGTAAGAGCTCGTGCGGTAGATTAGGATCCATGAGATTGCTTCGCAGACCAAAGCCGTGCAGAAGGAGATTCCGACGACGGTGAGACTATCGGCGTACTTGAAAGAAGCGAAGAGAGGTATCGCGGTGGCCATTGCTTCTTCTTCTTCTTCTTCTTCTTCTTCTTCTTCTTCTCTATCAAGTGCTCAGAGATTTAATATGATTGAGTTGTTTCTTTTTTTTTTTCCGTATTGAGATTTTTGATATAAAGAAAGTCAACTATTAGTTGTTCAAAAACAAAGTCAAACTTTTGAATAAAAGCCCATAGCGAATATAGTTTGAACCAAGGTAAGAGAAAGAAAAGGCCCCAATGCATAAAAGCCCACTCGTAATGGTAATTCTGTTTATTTGACTTAATTCATAAACGGCATAACATGCGAGTTTGATGTCGTTTGTTCTGGATAAAACGACATCCATTTTTTTAAAACAAAATGATTGAAACAATTTTCTTAAAATTTATAGAGTTTGAGATTTGTTGATTTTGAGATATTTAGAGGTTCGTATTAGTGTTGTTGATGTATCACCTACTCATGTTTGACAGAAAAAAGAGTTAAATGAGACAAAACATTTTTTTTTCTCATTAGATCAATAGAATGGTCAAGATTTTCTGAAAAGACAAAATAGAAAAAATTTCGTCCTTGTATCAAATTTACATCTACATAATAATTTTCTTGTTATACATAGTACTTATATAGAATCTAAGCACTTGATTTATGTTACACCCAAAAGTAGATTTGGAAAAACGTGAGCCAAATAAAATGTGAAGTGCGACATCCTTTTCGTTGGCTATATTTAGTTAATATGATTTTGGTAGCATTTTCTTTCTTTTTTTTTCATTCCCATTTAATTTGTAGGGGTGGTTTTGATTTTTGAATGTGTGTGGGACATGGGATTTGGTTTATTTATGATGAAACGTTTCATTTGTACTATGTACAACAGAAGTTAGATTGAAATTAAACTTGTTATAGAACTATACATGTAGTCATGTACCCACCACGGTCTCTTCTCACATCACACATCAATAATTGTTTTGCATAATAACTAGGATCTGATGTTTTGGTTTCATACATTTAAGAATTACATTATATATTCTTGTTAACTTCTCAGTTCATACGCAACTAGAATTGGAAATTTGTTTTCTAGCTTTTATTATATACTATATATAGTGTATCTGTAATGTTGATTTAAATAACAAAATCTAAAAATATATATATATGTAATTTTTTACGATTTTATAAGCCTATCACGTAGTGCACCTAGAATTGCATAGACGTTCAAGGCACTATGTAGTACTCTTTGAACATTACTTTTTCCAATTACAAACTAAATGATATTCTAATTAACTTTTAAATCCCGATATTTCTCTTGTTCATATATCTCAATGTTGTTCTCTATAATTAACTTTACCTTCATTCGTTCATCAAATGTCACCTAGTACATTGTTCTCAAGGAAACATATGTGGCTATTTTGAGACCATAAGTTATTAATCCATTATAAACATTTAGGCTATTGGAATTATTTAGGCGGATATCTATTTCTTGTCAGAAACTGAGTTATTAAATGCTGTATTCAGGCCTTATTTACATCACAATTCGAACAAATTAAACATTTATTTGGTTTGTCTTATTGTTAGGTGGAGGCAAAAAACAAGAAAGAAAAATGTAAACATGTTGAAATTAAACTTAGTGGTAATGAATCCCTTGGGACCCTTTACTGATTCGATTTAGATTTGAGAGTTAATGTTATTGGCGTGGACATTTCAGAACCAACCAAACGATATTTGGAAACCAAATATATGTTGCTAAAAAACTGCAAAAGAATAGGCTATTTAAAAAAAAAAAAGAGTCCCGCTAACAAATGTGTTAGTTAAGTTTTCGGTTTCGTAACTACTTTAAGCCATACTTTAAAGTCTCTAAAGAAAGAATGTTAAATAATTAGACTGGCCGGTGTGGTTGAAAACAATGAAAAGAAGGTTCCAGGATGATTTATATTGGTGATAAATGGGCTCTATGGTAATAATTGAAAATAAGTGATGTGTGCAAATGAAAAAGAATATTCAATAATGTTTAAAATATATTCGAAAAAATGTTACAAATAAATTATTATTTTTTTATATTTTGAAGAAATTTTAAGAAAGTAAAAGGTCAAATTGTTTCTTAAGAAAATTAAAATGTCCATGATGTGATTGACGAATGTTTCGCTTCTAACTATTGCATTATTCAATTAACATTTTTACTTTTTTGAATACAAGTTGAAGTGGATGTTTCAAGTAGTGTTTTTAAAATACAATCCAAAGATTTCAGCAAATGTTAAAAAAAATTTTGTTAAGTTTCATGGGTTAAGGTCCCTTCCCACTTCTTATTATAATGTGAGATATGAAACTATTCTGAGATTGGAATGATCAGTCGAAAATATTTATAAATCTTTAAAATGTACAATCTCAGAAATAAACCATTAATTTGAACTTAAGGTTTCATGAATTGGGCATAAATTTTGTAACACGTTTTAGCTCTATTTAAATTAGATAACATATATACAAGCTCACCGTTGAGAGTTCTATATTCATCTCCATAAACTTGTTTTACTGTTAATATTATTTGATGTCTACGGACTACGGGGATCAACTATCATAAGTAGATTAAACTAAAAAATTACATTAAAAAGAAGGGAAAAAGAACTAGAGATATTAAAAGAATGGAACTAGAGGCGTAGATCCAAACTCACGTGGTCCGGTACATTCTTCTTGGACTCACAAAACAGACCATGGCTGCTGCTACCACCACCAACATACGTCGGTCTAGTCTGGCGATCACCGATGAACCAAGGCATATATCTATTATAAGATGAACGGTCGCGATTAAAACTTGCGGATGAGTTATACCTACTACATAACCCTAATCTCGCTTCGTTTATTCGAGCAGCGTCAAGGCTAAAGCGATCCTCGTAGAACCTAGAAGTAGCAATGTGGTTTTGGTGGCGGTGGAAGAAAGCGGCCGCATTTGAATGGAGGTTGAAGCGTTTGGTTTGTTGACGTTCTCTCTTGTGAGCGTTTTGATGGCCGCCTAGGGCTTGTGAAGTAGGGAAGTTCCGGAAACAATAGTGGCACTTGAATCTTTTTTCTTTGTTATCGTCTTTGATGCTTTCATTGTTCTCGTTGTAACTGTCTTTGGACTCAGATTCTTCATGAGAAGCTCCAAACTCGAAGCCAAAGAGGCGAATGGGTCTTTCCTTTGGAGAGAAAGAGTTGACGCTCATGAAATCATGAGTCTTCATTTTTAATATAGTTTTGGTTATGACTTTGGAGGCTAAGTACAGAGAAAATATAAAAATTGTTGAGTTGAAGTAAAGGAAGATTTTGGCTTTTCTATGTCTAGATTCTTCAACTTAGTGTTAAATTTGCAACTTCAAAGTACGGTCTCCCCTATGTTTCTTGCATTTAATTCCCGATGGGGTATGTACATAGATAAATGACATTGAATAACTATATATTTACTATAATAGACCTATCCACACACATTTAGTTTTTGGTAAGTATCATATATATTCGTTTCTAGCTTTCTAATTTTGCTAACTATAGTCTTGTATATGTAGATAGGATTAGCCAGACAAAAATTGAACTAAACTACACTTGATGACCAAACGCTTGTAGACATAAATTGGACCGTCAATATATTCGAATGCCTACCTGCCGAGAGACCGTCGTCCGTGGCTAACAATTACTAGTGAAATTATATACTTAAATATATATACTTTTTCAATCCGTAGGTAAATTAACAAATCCACATGAAAAAGTTAATACTTATCTTATGGGTCCTTAATTAGTGACGAATTTAAAATAGTTAGCTAATTGGTTTGTCTCCTTAAGATTCAAATTCGGATTTGCCTTGATGATTTCTACCCGTCGAACTACCATCATTGATATGTCATATCAATGCATGTTTTATGAAAAGGTTTAGTACAATTATTTGATGTCAAGAAAGTATATATATAGATGTATCTTTAAGGTTCATGTTTCTATGTTAAATAGTGACAGCTTATATATATAAGACCAGACTTTGATGGCCTGTGAGGCTATAGTTCAAATATCTGTCGTGATATAAGTACATTTTTTTTTCCTTATGGTCATTTTTAGAACAACCATGTTTTTTAGTAGTTGATCAAATGTTTTTGAGTAGTTAATCAAATCGTATATATGTTGCCTCGTCTAATCAAATCCTCTCAACATTCATACAAAAAAATATTCTCTCAACCAAAAAAAACTTTTTAGTAGATAATACTAACCACAAAACCAAAAAGTAAAATAAAACAACCAAGCATGAATTAACATATAGTACAAGTTTTCAGGTGGGATCCCTGAAATTAATGTAGTTAGATGGTAAATTGTGTGGTGTCACATCTTTGTTTCCTCATCTGCTCGATTCTTCTTTTTAGTTTGGATTTTGCTTTCCGTCTAGAAGTTTTGCCAGAATAATTCATTAATGTTGCTCTCCATGAAAAAGTGCAACATTGACGATAGATTTTGTTAGTTTGTCTTTGTCATATTTGTTGTATTATAATGGATCATGAACGTGTTCGCCTATGACGAAAGAGCATGGTCGTGAATCAAATATAATGTTGCTCACACGATCAATTCGCATCCGGTTGATTTAACAGAAGAAGAAACAGCTTAAGCAACTCTAATATACCATAAAATTCTTCAACTTATAATCTTTTAAAAAAGAAAAAAAAAACCAGTAGATAAATGCTAGAAAAACAAACAAAGCCAAAAAAATTCACATTAAAATTATGAAGTCTCGATATCTAAAATAATCATCAATCGAAGGATATCCTTTGTTCCTCTAAATAATTGGTTCGATAAAATTCAAACAAAATAATATGAAAAATAATATTAAAAAAAAATTGAAGGTTGAAGGAGAATCTAATAGAGTTTCATATTCCCCACGAAACGGTACATTTCAAACAAACAACATTGCACGTCCTCTAATGTAATTGGAAGTGCCACACACGAAGCCAAGTTGAGAAAATAATATAATATTTACACACAAAAAAAAGACTATATAAAGGGTGTTCATGTTCAAGTATAACATAAAACCAAAACAAAAAGAACAATAAAGGGTATGATGAGATCCTCAAGAACTATGGGTTTAGGGAATTGCATGGTTTATGTTGTTGTCCTAAGTGCCATTGCGGCTACAGTGACATCAAACCCTTACTCATATTCTCAAACCCCATCTTACAATTCTCCTGGCCATGAACACAAAGGCCCTAAATACGT